GAGCCAATCAGGACCCTTGGTCTGAAAACATTCTGCATCTTCTATTCTACAACCTTCCCACTCCGAAGGTTGAGGGTTCAATTCTAGATTTTAGAGCCTTGGTGGCGCAGCAGATTAAAGCACTGTTAAGTAACACCAGCTGCCTGCAATTACTGCAAGTTCAAATCTCACCAGGCTCAAGGCTGACTCAGCCTTTCATTCTTTCAAGGTAGGTAAAATGAGGACCCGGTTTGTGGGGGCAATAAGCTGACTTTGTATAAAAAAGAACACCGCTTGGGATGGGGTGCGAAAGCCTTACTAAGCAGGTATATACAAAAGTATGAAGGCTATTGCTTAACACATTGTAAGCCGCCCTGAGTCTCCGGAGAAGGGCGGCAGAGAAATCGAACCAATAGATAGATAGATAGATAGATAGATAGATAGATAGATAGATAGATAGAGGCAGATGTTTCACTTTTACATCAGCCTATGAGATTTAGCAAGACTTGGAAGGTCTCAAGGAAGTCCTCAACAGCAGTACAGGTGATCTGTCTTGGGAACAAATACTCTATACCAATGATGACTAACCTTTTTGGCACCAAGTGCCCAAAGTGCATGTGAACCCCCAAAATGCAATTCAAGTGCCCACTTACGCATGTGCCCAACCCACGCACATGCACACACATCCCCATGCATGCAGCCCGTGCATGCATCCTCCTCCCGCGCATGCATCCTGCCCCCCACACGTGTGCATGTCCCATGTGCCCTGCCCCCCGCACATGTGTGGCAGAGACTGAAAGACCAGCTGGCCGGCAGGAGGCGTGCACGCCATAGGTCCGCCACCACGGTTCTATAGAATACAGTGTGATCACTATGTAGGAGTGGATAGAATGTGAATAGAAATATTTTACCTACCTGGATTCTTACTTGATTTATATGGGATTAGTATAAGCCAAACAATTTTCTGACATGCAGATAAACAGATCAACTTGTTCCAAATTTAAATGGAATGAAATAGGACAATTCAACTTTACACAGAGCCTTTTGCATATTTATTTATTGCACAATTTATATGGCTATCCATCTCTCTGTGGTGGTTCCGTGCAACATGCGAAGTTAAAAACAACAGTGTATGCAATCCAATCCATAATGGCCAAGGTCACAAACAAGATTTCCAGTGTACACAAAAAGAACAACAGAACTCACTTACCCTCCTGGCCTAAATGCCAGGAAGTTTACACTCTAAAAGTGGCTGCAAGGCCAAACTGATTTGCTGACTATAAAAAAAAGATCATATATTCCTTTATTGCAGATTGGAAACCACTGATGGAATGTTTGCATACAACAGGGGAAGAAAAAAGAACTTATAATTTATGGCTTTGATGATTACATAGGATAGAGTATAGAAAGAAGAGAGCCAGGATGTCAGGACTAGGGGTAACATGATAGCAGTATTCCAATATTTGAAGGGCCGCCACAAAGAAGATGGAGTCAACATATTTTCCAAAGCAGCAGAAGGCCAGAGAAGAAGCAATGGATGGAAACTAATCAAGGACAGAACCAATCTAGAATGAAGGATAAATTTCCTGACAGTGAGAACAATTAATCAGTGGAACAACTTGCCTCCAGAAGTTGTGGATGCTTCATCACTGGAAGTTTTTAAGAAGAGACTGGACAGCCATTAGTCTGAAATGGTATAGGGCAGTGATGGCTAACTTTTTTGCCGTCGCGTTGCAAAAGCAGGGGGAGCGTGGGGGGGGTCACGCACGTGCATGCCCACACCCATAATTCAATGTGTCCCGCCCCCTCATGCATGCTCACGCTACCACCCCATGCTCCCACACCTTTGGCACACGATGGCATGGTGGGCCCAGTAGGCCCGTTTTTCACCCTCCCCAGGCTCCAGGGGCTTTCTAGGAGCCTGGGGAGGGTGAAAACGGCCTTCCCCACCCACCCCAGAGGCCCTCTGGAGGCTGGAAACAGCCCATTTCCCAACTTCCGGTGGGACCGGAAGGCCTGTTTTTCGCTCTCCCCAGGTTAACATCAGACCAACAATCATGTAAACAATATCCAAATCAAGAAATTGTCAAAAAAGCGAACAGCAAATAGCCCAACCAAAGAATCTCTAAGACTGCCCTCACCAACACTGACAGACAAACAAGCCACCAGAATATAAATTGACAGCAAACATCACTCTTTACTAGCACTGATGATGTTACCTAGATTGGGAAATGAAACCTCTGTAAGAAAACAACCCAGCTCAGAGTGTACTAAGGACTCCTCATGAGAAGAAATAAGAAATTGTATAAAGAAGAAGAAAGAAAGGACTATTTAATATTATTTAACTAATGCACACACTCTTCTCTCTCTGGAACAGAAAAGGGTATTATAAAATCCACAAAATGACAGAATGTATTTTTTTCTGAAAATATAGTTGGCTTATTTCAGATTCAACTCTGAATTATAAAAAGGCCATCTGTTCTCCCAGAGATCCATTCTTGGGTCCTGTTTAGTGACATGACCATTCTCAGCACTGCCCCAGAAAACCAAATTATAAATTTAAACATTTGTGTTCACTTCAAGCCAAGCAGGAAGGTGGGAAGCATCACAATTGTGTTGGTCAGAGTAACACACCTCTTGTCATCAGAACCCAATATTACAGACTGACAGTATTTGGAAGAGGTTATTGCATATCAAATCATTCCATCACATTACTGCTGAGACAATATTGTTCTCTCCTGGAGCCAGTAGGAAAGCAATAAGAAAAACTGTTGCATTTTATATTACTTTTATTTCCACTTAATGGTGCTGGCTCTCAGAGATATATCTGACTCTCCCTGGAGCCTGACCTTAGTGCTTTCTTAGGAAGACACATTTTGTTCAAAAACAGTTAAGACTTAAAATGACCATTAAGGCTACAATGAAAACACATTTGATTTTGATTCGTAAAACCTTTCCCTTTCTGTCTTAGAACAGCAGACAGCAGACTTCTCTTTGCCTTCAATTAAATTATTTCCTTCCTTCCTTCCTTCCTTCCTTCCTTCCTTCCTTCCTTCCTTCCTCCCTCCCTCCCTCCCTCCCTCCCTCCCTCTCCAATTCAATATTTGAATACATTTTATGCCAGTACTTGGGAACAAACATTCACTGAAACAACACAGACACTAACTTGAATTCAGTTTGTAGGGAAAAAAAGAAATATATAAATGTGATAAGTTTAAAAAAAAATGTAACCAAAAAACACAGGCTGGTAATGTCCAGATCTCCAATACCTAGCAAAGTAACAAATATTTTCTGAGAGAAGGTATAAAGCCATATAATATCAATTTAATATCATAATCATGGATTATGGTTTAAAGGTAAATGTTTCCCTCATACATATGTGCTAATCATTCCTGACTCTAGGGGGCGGTGCTCATCTCCGTTTCAAAGCCGAAGAGCCAGCGCTGTCCCAAAATGTCTCTGTGGTCATGTGGCTGGCATGACTAAATGCCAAAGGTGCACAGAATGCTGTTACTTTCCCACTAAAGGTGGTCCCTATTTTTCTACTTGCATTTTTTACGTGCTTTCGAACTGCTAGGTTGGCAGAAGCTGGAAGCTCATCCCGTTATGCGTCATTAGGGATTCGAACTGCTGAACTGCCAACTTTTCGATCGACAAGCTCAGCATCTTAGCCACTGAGCCACCGCGTCCCTCTTGAGGTCTAGAAACGGAGTCAAAATAGGAACTGGAAACCACAAAACATGAGCCTAATCTTGCCTGTTGACAGCTCACCAAAGTGTTTCTGCTTCTAGTAACTTGAATTGCGTTTGCAAGTATCTCAACTAGAGTTCCTTCTAATAAAGCTTTATCTCAGCTGTTCTTTCTCCATTTCTCTTTCCTTAGGCCCTATTCACAATGTTCTCCAATGGATAAAGAATGGAATTTTGTTCCTGGGTCAGAACCATTTTTCAGTTATATGGCTAATGGCTTTCTAAAATCTGAACAATTTAGACTTTGGATAGATATACCAGGCAGCTCTCAAGACAAAAGTAATTTAAAAAGGATTGGATTTTTTAAGGTTTATTATATATATATATATATTTTAGAAAACCACTAATATAATCTGCACTTAAGAGACTGAAGCTCTGGAACCAGCAACTGACCCACAAGATTCCTGGGTCATCCTACTGAGATTGATCTAGTGCAGAAGTCTTCAAACTTGACAGCTTTAAGACTTGTGGACTTCAATTCCCAGAATTCTCCAGCCAGCATAGCTATGATGGCTGGAGAATTCTGGGAGTTGAAGTCTACAAGTCTTAAAGCTGGCAAGTTTGGGGACCCCTGATCTAGTGGTTAAGGCACCAGGCTAGAAATTGGGAGACTGTGGATTCTAATCCTACCTTAAAGATTAAAGCCAGGTGGGTGACATTTGGGTCACTCAATCGCTCTCAACCCAACCCATCTCATAGAGTTGTTGTGGGGAAAATAGGAGAAGGAAGTAATATTATAGTAGGTATATTCACTGCCTTAAGTTATTTACAAAAATAATAAAGGTGGGATTTACAAATAAATAAAAATGGGAACTGGGTTAATGATGGTGTGTGACCACTTTGCCTTATTGACATAGTGACTACAGTAATATTATAATCTCTGTGTTCACATTAAGACAGAATTCAGAATTGCCTTGGTTATCATGTATAAAATACGATTTTAGATTAAGCTCCCGCTGTGCACATAGTTCCATGTATACGGTTGAGACAAATACATGCCTTTTGGTTGAATATGTTACACAGCACTACTGTCCTAATATGCACGCACAATCTCTCACACAAATCCATGTGTATGTGTGGCCCTAAAGTGATGGAAGTTTCCTTTTACCACCTCATTCATCATTTTGAGTATAAATCATATATTTCTCACAAAAATGTAGCAGTAGTGATGAAATTTAAAGAGCATGTCTGTCTTTAAATCAAGTACTATATTAAGCTAAGAAGGAGGAGAAGAAGAAGGAGAAGGAGAAGATGATTAAAAAATAGATTTACCTTGAATGGCAATGGCTCCTCGGTAAGTGGGCTAACAGGAAGTGAGTTGGTACTGGTGGCAGGACTCATATCTGAGCTCTAAAATAAAATAAAATAAAAATCCAGACTTAGCCTAGGACATATTATCATTGTTATACATTCAGGAAGTCAATCAGTCAGTTAGTCAATCATTTATTTTCTATGGCTACCCACTCATCAAGAACCCACTCACCAAGGGTTAAAAACTTTGCAATATCATAATAAGATAATACCTGGGGGGAAATAAAGAACTTGTGTCATTACAAAAATATACTATCCTTTCCCGGTTCCTGGGAAAAGAACCAGGCCTTTAAAGCAGGGGTCTCCAAACTTGGCAGCTTTAAGACTTGTGGACTTCAACTCCCAGAACTCCTCAGCCAGCTTTGCTGGCAGAGGAATTCTGGGAGTTGAAGTCCACAAGTCTTAAAGCTGCTAAGGTTGGAGACCCTGCTTTAAAGCATTCTTAATCTGGAATGGTTAGAGCCACTGGAATTTTGACAATACAGTTCCATAGGGCAGAGGTTGCAACAGAAGGCATACTACCTGCCTCCCATGAAACTTTAATCCCTGTTTAATGTTGCCCATCCAGAACATGATACTGTCAGAGTTTGAAAAATGGTCAGAGATCATTGGAAATTATTTCTCGTCTTGCAAAGCATCCCAACAATATGTGGGACATGGTCCTACAAAAAGACCCTGTGTCTTGTACACCTTTGTAGATGATAACAAGCACCTTACATTGCACCAGGAAATCTTTTGGTAATTATGGCAGTTCACAGATAATAATATCATATAAATGTAACATGGGCTACATGTACAGCTCTACATGTATTGTCACATTCTGGACCAGATCAGATTAACAGAGCTGGAAGGGATCTTGTAGGTCATCTAGTCCAATCCCCTGCCCAAGCAGGAGACCATTTCTGACAGATGGCTGTCCAGTCTCTTCTTGAAAGTCTCCAGTGATGAAGCTCCCACAACTTCTGAAGGCAACTTCTGTTCCATGGGTTGATTGCTCTCATTGTCAGAAAAATTTATCCTTACTTCTAGGTTGAATCTCTCCTTGATCAGTTTCCATCCATTATTCCTTGTCTGGCCCTCAGGTGCTTTGGAAAATAGATTGACTCCCTCTTCTCTGTGGCAGCCCCTCAAATATTGTAAGACTGCTATCATGTCTCCCCTGGTCCTTCTCTTCCCAGTTCAGCTTCTGAATATGAACTTCCCAGTTCAGCTTCTGAATATTTTCCAAGGGCAGTCCCATGTAGAGAGTCTTGGCAGTAATGCAGATGAGAAATGTCCAAGGCATGGGTTAATGAGTAAGCCCCCCCCCCAAGCCAGAAACCGATGCAATTAGCATACAAGATAAATTTGTACAATGGTCCTCCTATCCATTGCTGTCACCAGCTCTTCAAGAAGGTAGCTGAGAGTTGAGGTGGATCCTCAGACCAGGGATGAAATCTTCTTACCTTCCCTACTGGTTTGGAAGTGTGTGTGCACATGTAATGTGTGTGTGTGCAGACCCTCTGTGCATGCGCAAACCCTTCTGCACATGTGCAGAGGGTAAAAAAAGGTACTTCCTGGTTAAAACTAGAAGTAACGACCACCAGGCCAGTGGACAGAGCCTCACACTGCCATCACTACTGGTTCTCCGAACCACCCACTGCCATCACTACCAGTTCAGCCGAACCGGTCCGAACCAGTAGCATTTCACCCCTACCCCTGACTGCACACTATCTCCATCTATGGAAGGATAATCCTAGTCAGAACTAATTATGGGAACCTGTTGTTCTTCCTGGGTAAACTAGATAGGAAACACAGCTAGCTGAACTAAATCTACTTTATTGTAAGGCTCCATTCACAGATCTTGAAGAATCTGAAAGCACAATCCTCCCTCCCTCCCTCCCCTTCTAATTGCTCGTTCCATAAGGACATATCGTTCCTAAGTTTCTTTCTCTAACCCAGGGGTCAGCAACCTGTGGCTCTGGAGCCGCATGTGGCTCTTTCACCCCTCTGCTGCAGCTCCCTGATACTCAAAATATGTATCACAACCGCCAATGTGCGACACCCGCCAGCAAGCAATTTATTGAGCTTTTCAACCCCTGGTAGACCAACCGTGGATAAATCCAAGAAAAGAAAAGTTTCAGAAGAAAACAGAACATTTAATTCAACTACATATGCTAGTTTTGTGACCACTCAAGAAATAGTCAGTCACGGGAAGGGTTTTGTGGCTCCCGGTGTTTTCTTTTCTGTGGGAAACGGGTCCAAATGGCTCTTTGAGTGTTTAAGGTTGCAGCCCCCTGCTCTAACCATTAAGCAAGTGCAGAATCCTGCCCCTTTTGTTTGCTTGTTTCCTAGGCAGACTCTTTTCTCTCTTTTTTTTGTCAAAGTCACCTATGCAATGCATTCCATTACAAAATCCATAGAACTTGGTAGACCTAAAATTCACACCCAATCAGTTTTGTTGTGCTTTAATTTAATGTTGGGGCATTTTATATCACAAGAAATAACACCCTATTTATAGGAACAGCAAAGTGTGTTATCTACCCAGTGTTTGTTTTGCCAATTTTTTTCCATGATGGTTTTTTAACAGACCCCTTCAGGACTACTTCCACTAAATAATGAATAAGATCTTCAAAACAATATCCTGAGCAACATAGGTATGTAAGCATCCTTAACAGTCCCAGTGGGAACAATTATTAACAAAATGCCAGTGAACTATATAATACAAAATGCTGTGGTCAAAAAGATCAGCTTCTTATCAGCAACAGAAGAGCCCAAGAAGAAAGTAGAAGTGCTGAGTTTCTCAGTTATCAGAAAACAATTCCAAATAAGAATAAAACTGAATAACCATTGAAGTGTTAAAAAAATTGCAAAAAGAAAGCTAAGCCCTTCAGCATTTTCTTAAGAGAATGGAGAAAGCTTCATGGATTTTCATACACAGCTCTTGGTCTGCTTAACAAAGTATGAACCACAGATGACACACTCAGGTAGAATGGGGTTGTAGATGCATGACTAATAAAACCCAAATGCCTTTGGTTTATAAATCATGGATTATAGTTTAAAGGTAAAGGTAAAGGTTCTCCTCACACATATGTGCTAGTTGTTCCTGACTCTAGGGGGTGGTGCTCATCTCCATTTCAAAGCCAAAGAGCCAGCGCTGTCCGAAGACGTCTCTGTGGTCATGTGGCCGGCATGACTAAACACCAAAGGTGCACAGAACGCTATTACCTTCCCGCCAAAGGTGGTCCCTATTTTTCTACTTGCATTTTTTACATGCTTTCGAACTGCTAGGTTGACAGAAGCTGGGACAAGTAACAGAAGCTCACCCCATTATGCGGCACTAGGGATTCGAACCGCTGAACTGCTGACCTTTTGATTGACAAGCTCAGCATCATGGCCACTGAGCCACTGCATCCATTAATGGATTATGGTTTAGCATGATGTATAAAACTCATGATAACTAGTCAGAGAGGACCAGTGTATAGTGGTTTTCCTTCACTCCACATCAGTGGAACAATGAAACATTTCATTTGTTATTATTTCATTTTACTCCTTAAAAAAAAAAAAAAACTCCACTGGTAAACCGGTGAAATACCATCATCCACTGCCAAACTGATGGAATGAAATACTTGAGTACATTGACAAAACTTGTATCAAGTGAGAGCAAAAATGGTCAATTTGTCTACAGACGTTTGTAAAATTGGCAAATTTTCACCTAAACAAAGGGATTTATGGAAAATATTTCTAAACAGAAACCGTGTGTCCTCAAAGATTTGTCCACAAAAAAGTATAAGAGTGGTGCTGGCTATTCCATCATAGGTACAGGGCAATCCAAAAATCTAGGCTAATGGTCACTGTTATCTACACAAGTTCCCTTTTAACCTCATTGCCAAAAGTGAAAACACAAGCAATGTAAGACTGCTGTTAATATGAGCCCCTAGTCAAGCTCCAAATAGATGCATCAAAACACAGTACAAAATAGACTCAGTTATTACATGATTCCAGTAGGTATTTTTTTGGATCCAGTCAACTGTGAATATATTGAAATTGTCAAGTATAAGATGTGGCTGAGAGATTACCTTTTGTACATGTCCTGCCTAGGCTGTCTGAACCATCAACATTCAAAAGAGTTTTAAAATTCTGCAACAACATCAGATATGTCAGATAGTCTTTGTGAAATTTGACAGCTTCTGCCATCACTCATAGGAGTGAGTCGTTCAAGCTGCTCATTGTTGTATAGAAAGAAGGCACAACGGTGACTCTAAATAGCTTTGATTAAAAATTATATACAATATCCCAGTTCTCCCAATGCCTAATTTTCTCTACAACTGCTTCTTAGCCAGAGAAGTTCTGCAATAGTGAATACTGACTTTTCTCAAGATCACTATCCAAATTTATTGATCCAAGAATTTAATGCTGACAGAAAGTATTTTTGCTGGATATTAGAAGCAAGAGACTGATATAAATCTTGATAATTAAAGAAAGGAGAAGACAATCTGTATATTTTATAGTTATTTAAAAGCAGAGGAGTGAATCGCTAACTTATTTTCAGGGTGATCGCTTCCACTGTTTCGTTGCCACTATGTTGAATTGAAGTTACAGTCTAGAAGTTGAATTACACTTAATAAATGTGATACGGCTTAATAAACAAGCCAGCATTTTGGATGCTTTGTCCTGAAAGATTAGTAAAGGAGTTGGCTAAAGTGATCCTTCATTTTTATGACCTTTTGTATTTACTTTATTGCTGCCCCCCAATTTTTGCAGCTCCCCTTCAGGAGATGAGAAAGTGCATGGAGGAGGAGGGTGTACTGATGATATCTATGGTTTGAAGATACTCACTGATACTCCTCTAGTCTCCATTTAGTGGTTGACCAACCCTCTTGGAGTAATCTTACATCACAATATATAAATCACAAAAGTTTGTCTTGAAGAAAAGTTTGTCTTCATGTCCTGATTCCACCCTATTTTTCAAAAAGTGGAAGAAATATTAGACAAAATATATAGTGGCATGGATGGATGGATGGATGGAAGGGAGGGAGGGAGGGAGGAAGAGAGGAAGG